TCCTGTTAGTGTAGGCACTACTGCTTCAACAACAATCAATATAACATCAATATTGTTTCAAGGAAGTGCATACACTTTTTATGTAGTATCTTATGGATCAGCTTCTCTACCTAGTGGTAATGCTTCAGTTATGTTAACTTTTCGTAAGTTATAATATAAATAAAAATGTCATTTATTGTGTTGTAGGTGATCCAGTAGTTAACAATTTTATAGCTACTCTAGTTACAGCTTCAGCCATTACAATAACATGGAGTCCACCAACTGCTGTAGTACCAATTAGTTATAATATTAATAGGAGATGTAGGAGAGTATGTGAATCATCATTCACTAGTACTAATAAAACATCAGTTTCATCACCACATACTTCAACTGGTATACCTCCTTACAGTCAATGTGGCTTTGATCTTATTGGAATATATGGAACTGATATAGCTTATTTGACTACTAATTATTTAGTTACTACACTTTCAAGTGGTAAGTGAATAAATTTTAACAAGAACCACTCTTGATTTTAATGATTATTATTATTCATTCCTTTCTGTAGCCCCTACTGCACCAGTGGGTGATATTATATTCTCATCAGTAGAGTCAGTGTCAATGACTGTCTCATGGGATGAAGTACCTTGCAACGGAAGGAATGGACCAATCACTGGATACCACCTCACATACACTAACATCACTTCAAACACTAGTTATACTGTTAATATCACTGGAGGAGACAACAGAATGTATAATCTCACAGGATTAATACCATATACTAACTATACTGTGAGTATAATACCTTATAATTATAATATGAATGGACCAGCTAGACAAGAAATACAATTAACTGCTGAATCAAGTAAGTCAATGAAATATTGATCAGTTTAACATGATCTTAACACAGTTCCTGGTCTGATATCTGATTTGATACAAACAAATGCTACACTAACTGAGATCAGTATCTCATGGAATCCTCCTACAATACCTAATGGTATCATTACAGTATATGAGATAAGATATAGAGAGTCTACCAGTACTGGTCCATACAATATAACTAACACTACTAACACTTATTACAGTATAGTAGGATTGATACCTAATACTAGTTATACTATTGGAGTGAGAGCATATACTAGTATT